GACGCCCAAAATATAAAATACTGTCTCGATTCCGTGCAGATAGATCGTGTACCGAACAGTTTGCAACATTATAGATCACTGTGGAACAATCACTTGAGCGAAATCCACCACTACACACCAACCCCCATGGCAAAGAGAAAGCTCTAGACTGCATTGACAGGATGACACTATGACGGCTTCCTCAACACTATGGTGTACCAGAAGAAGTAGGAAATTGTAGTGACATATTAAAGTGGAAAACCGTGGATAGAGGACAGAGCACAGACCCGTTCCAAATGTGGATCGGTGTCAGACAGAGTGGCTTACCCTTCTCATGGTTTCGTTTTCTTCTGGCGGCTGATTGGATTATGAAGACGTCAGCGACTCACTGGAAGAGTGTTGTACGGTGTACAGCCCGGAAGCAGCTGCATGATTTGGACTTCGCAGATGACCTACGTTTTATATCGCACATACATCAAAGAATGCATGAGAAGACGGCCAGTTTAGCAACAGTTTCTACAGCATTACACCTTAATATATACAAGGGAAAAAGCAAGATTTTCCAATGCAACACAACATGCGCCAACCAAATAAAGCTTGATGAAGAAGCTTTAGAAGATGAAGAAATTTTGAGAGCCTTTTTTCCCGAATATTTGATGATCCTGCAAATGTCGTCATGATGCTGGTCCATGAAGATAAAAAGGGTATGCTCTTCCCATTAGGATAATTTAATAATTTGAATGAATCTTCAAGCAATCGACTGGTATGAGTTCTCTCTAAAGTTATGGAGTTCTTGGTATTTGACGATCTGTCAGACTACTTATTGTCTATTAAATTATTCTCACCTCAGCAACAAGGCTTCAGGATGGAATACATCAGTATTAATAACGTGCTGACTACAAGGCATAGATGGATAGCCATGCCTGATCGCGAGGAGAAGACTGATGCGATATATCGCTCACAAACATTTGATAGGCTAAGCTCAAACTGTTAGGTATCAAGTCTTCATCAATCGATCGGTTAACTTCATATTTTAATAATCCACCATTTCAGATCAGTATCCACTTCATTGTTTCTCAGGTTACAGAATGTCCTAGTGGAATTCCTCAAGATCTATAACCAGGAACATTTCGATTTTTAATTTCTGTATATAACCTACCTCAACAGATGTCGTATAAGTTATTACTTTTTTCTTAAGTCGATTAACACTGGGGAAAAGTGTTTAGCCAAAACAGTAAGCTGGCTCTTGAATAGCATCTGAGTCAACTTCACAGTTACTTTTAACAATTCAAAGTGACAAGTGGCTAACGTGAGATGAGCTGCAAACTATGTGTACATCTTAGTTAACACTCTTCTAGGGGTGTCGTAAGTTGTAAAAAATCTAGGAGTCTTAATACTTCATTATCTAAAATCTCCAGCTAACTTTAACAAAACTGCTTTTCAAGAAAATCTGCTACCAGTAAACATAAAGCTCGTTTTTGGTAAAATTGTTAGTAGAACTTTTCAACTGCTCTTAAGAAATGTTTTATTCATAATTTAAAGGTAGATTGGTACCTAGGCTCTCAAACAATAAAATGCTCATAAATTGTATGATACTGAAAGGCAATAGTGTTCACGTGGAAGGCGGAATACAAAAGCACCGTTAAAGGAAATCCGATAATGTAAGTAGTAATTTTAAAAAACATTTTGTTGCCGTCCTAGGGGTCGAGTGCCTTATGGTAAAAAAGATTACAGTATGTTGCAATTCTTGTTGGAAGATTTTCGAAGAAATATAAGCAGCTAAACATTGATGGAAATGCTTTCTTTATATTCAAAAATTCATATGACAGGCTTTCCCATTCTGACTAGTTACAGGGAAGTTCCAATGGTATAACTGTTTTGAAAATTCCTTTAAATTTAAACATTTTTGATACTGCTTTCTCCTAATATGCATTTGCCTTCTTACATAGATGCGTGAATTTGAAGCGAAATAGGTGTAGTAAGGGCGTGTTTGATTATACATACAGGTAAGAACTAGAAGGCTGTAGTGGTTTCAGTGTTACAGGACTTAGATTTCGTTCACCTCTGTATTGATGACCTGCCATAGCATCATCAAACGTAGAGGTACATCATCTGCACTGTTATTCCGACGTATTGCCATTTACAAAGAAAAAGTTAACTTTGCAAGTCTGAATTTAAATTCTCTAGCCACTGCAATGAACAAGACAGAAATTTACCTTTCAATGATCATGTACTTGCTGTAATGGAATACACTTAACCATCTGCACTCAAAGACCTGACAGCATTCCTGAGTGTGGTTAATTTCACGACCTCTTACCCTTGTACATCTTGGTGATACTCGTAAGCTAGTTCTAGATGGATCCGCACTTAGGGAATCAACAGATTGTTATTATATCATCAAATATCCTAAAGAAATTATTCTGTGAGTCTAAATCTATTTGTCATTTCATATTGGTCAATAAATAAGGTCGTCCTAAACTACCAAGTTCACATACTTTTAAATGGTTTTTTCCTATTGATTAGTATTCACGTTCGACTCAACTGTATAAATATGCCTTGTCTTCAAAGTATTATGCTTCTCTTCTTTTTCTCCACAAAACTACGAATTTCCGGGTGCTTGTAGAATGCGCTTTCAACGCCATATCGAGATTTGGATACCATCAGTGGGGGCTTGTAACGCTCAGATTAGAGTAGCTATCGTGTCGCCGAATCATCGATCCCCTCTATCGTTTATCACCCAAGTAAACTATCTCTCCTACTATCTCTGCTTCCTCTCCCTTGCTTACAATTTGGTCCTCTCTCACAATCTTCACTACTAATTAATAAACTAAATTGTCTATATATTACTCAGTTCTGGAATCTTATTCACATTAGCATTACAATTTTATCCTTATCATCCTTCTTATTCTCCACATTGCAACTAACTGATCTCCAGTCTGATAATGTGATGGCTTCTGGTATCCAGAATTCCTCCTGCCCTGAAACAAACGTTTTCATTCAAATCCCCAGACATACAAACTCACAACCAACTACCAGCTGACTGGAATTAGACAGTATAGTGGCTAGACCCGCATTCATTGGACACTACCAAACAGCAGTAACCGTACTGAAAGAACAAGAATCGAGCCCAAAGAAATGGATTGGTTTATACTAGCTCTTGAAACAGATATTGGATATTGGATTGCATTTTGGATTGGATTTTGGTTACGTCTCATGAATATCGCGCAAAGTTCAATCGTCGGTTCTGTATACGCTTTAGGAACCTTACTCTTATAACTTCTAGCTTCATTATTCAGTTCGTCTTGATCTCATGCTGGCTTTACTTCTGGTTTCTGCATACTGATTTCTCTACTGTCTTTAACTACATTCTATGTGTTTACTGAGTCGTCGGCTAACCTTATTCACCTGTTCTTTCAGATAACCTCAAACGCTGCTGTACGCTCACAGCGTACCTCCTGGCTGAACGCAAACCAACCAAAGGCTAAAGTTACAGTGGTGTGCCTTCTGTCTTTTGCTAGTTTGCATTTGTCCTGAAGTCATCTTATGTGCTGAGGGAGTTTGAGAAGTAGTATGTAAAGTTATCCAGATAAAGAAAATTCAGTTATGCTGTGACCTAATTATTACTTAGCATGCACTTGCTTTTAAATAAAAGGCATTCGACAACAGACTATTCACAAGCTTGAGGATTAGACAATCTGATTCTCGGAACCAGAATTTAATATTGTTTAGTCTCGGAATGTGTTACGGTGTTGGTTGAGTTGTGTGTTGTTGTTATCAAGGTAGAAATTGACAGTGATCCTGGAAAATGCTTGAAATTGACATAAATATTTATCCCGAAACGAAAATGGATCCAAGATGGTGCTAAGGCAGCTTGTGCTTTCAAATCCCTCACATGAATCTGCATGTAATGAAGTGCTTTACGAAGCTGCATAGTATTCTCCAACTCTTATTCCAAATCGCTATGATAAGTTTCGCTTAGTTTGTATGCAAAACAAACTTGATTCTCCAATTCTTGTTTGACTAAGTTACTGTCATACAACAGCTAACTATTGTCATCTCGTAATGGCGATACTAAATGTGATTTTTTTTTACCTGATTCAGATGTACAGGTTATCTGCTAACATCTATCCTCAATAGCTTTGGATTTTAGCTAGTATCACCCAATTACGAGAAGTTGATCTTGCAATTAGTCCAACTCATAACATTAACCCGACTCATAATATGTAGACTGAACCTTTGTTCTTTCACTATAATGAATATTGTGATGTGTGGAGGTTGGTTTTCCAGCTCAAAGTCATTATTTCACCTTTGTTTAGCTGCTGTTTGTTGTCAAGTATTTCATAAATAGTCTACGTCTTATGAGTAGCTGATAAGTCATTCGGGGTCGTCGGTATGTCACACTTTGAGCAGATAGTCAATTTTAAGGTTGGCATCGCATCAGATCGTGCTTGGTATGTAATTAAGATATCACTGACACTGTTGAAAATTGTCAAGATATTCTACCGGAATTCGGTTTATCAGCTCTGAAGCCTGTATGAACGCAGTTGCAGACCTAGTTGGGTTACCAATTTATGTTGGTGTAACAGCTTTGTGGAACTGATATGGAACCTGGATTTGTAACATTAAGAATGATGGGGTAGTATTTAAACCCGAATGTCTCAGAGTTGTTTGATGTTTTGTAGTAGTCTTAATATTGCTTGGTATAAATTACGGATAAGGCATTTCGTTTGTGCTATTCACACTGCATACTTACTGGTTACAACTGTATGCTAGGAAGGTATTTTAGTTAGTCGCTTATAAGTTTCTTATTTTTAACCTCTCGGTCGAACGGTGAATTATTTTTAGCACATAATTTGATTAATCAATGGACGCCTGCAATTTAACGGTAGTGTTATTTCAAATGAAAATAAAATTTATTAAATGTTATATAATTATTCTGGTTAGAGAATTCATTGTTTTCCTCCCGGTTTTAGACTCTGAATATTCGATCTGTATTCTTCTGATAAATGGTCGTCACAAGTATGTATCTTCATCTAACTTGTTATGGATTTATAGGTTTTCAAAATTTCTTTCATGTACGTCCTTTAATAACTACAGCAGTTGCCTTATGGATTTGTGTGATCATCTATCTAAGTTTCAGTTTCTTCAATCTGGAAAGTAATAATCAACAAAATTTAGCCTGTCAATCTTTACTGGAAATAATTACTGGTTTAAGAGAACAAGTGGATATCGGGTCAACGAACTTAAGGGTATTTCTTACGTCGTATGATGCTCAGTAAGTTAGTGCGTTTTTAAGAGTGACTAGTTTACCATTGATATATCATTTTTATTTACATATGGGAATGAAGCTACCTTATTGTTGTGTATTTCGTATTTGGTTATGATATGTAAAATGTGGTACAATAATGACCAGGGAGTTGTTTCACGTTGTTCTTCTGCTCAACTGTAGGAGCTATCAGTTGACTAGATGTATTTCGTTAGTCCCAATGACTTACTATATAGTAAATGCAAATGTAAACTCTTGACCGTGTCAAAATCTGTATGGTGCAACACCTATAGATATTCAGTCAGTTAGGAGTTGAACTTTATCCCATCTTTCTGGTCTCGATAACTGGTCGTCGTGGTTAATGTGAGAAAAGACAAAATCACTTTTTGACAACCATAGCTGAATCAATTCAACTGATGGATTGTCAAAAATACTGGCCTCCATTATCATCTGATTCTTAATTATGGTAAATTTCATGATACAAAACCAGTCTGGTTTCAGATCTAAGCGTAGAAATATTCATCAAACTATACGTTACTGATGAGTGAATAACTGATGAATACTACTAATAATAAGTATTCAGTAATTCTGTTTAAAATATTTTCCTTTAAATGCTGCAATACATTATTATGTTTAAAAAGTTGTCAGTAATAACAGTAACATATTTTTCCAACCAATTCAATTTTTTTTGCTATAGATATAAAAATGAAAAAAGCAATGTTGACAGAGGTAAGTTTTATGTGGTAATTTGTATGTGTACATGACTAAATATATTCCAGGTAGAGCACTATAAACTCTGAATTGTTTATTGAATGGCTTAATCATATAGTAGCTACTGTTTTTATTGGGCCCTTTCCATCAAATCATCTGAAAATACTTCGTGTGTTGGAAATATTCAATATATAATGTGTCAATATATCATGATATAGTTATTGCTATATTCCGGTTTTATTTTAAATGATTTGAGCAAAAAGCAAATATAAGAACGAAGAATATTTTCTCGAGTAAATTTTATTCGGATTGTTCAATTGTGTGTCAAAATTATTCAATACAAAATATGGCCTGGTTTAGAACAATTATATCGTTTAAAATTATTACACGTGATTTCAGAATTTTATGTAAAGTAACGGAGTTGTTGATGCTAAAGTTGGACAAAGCAATTCAAGGAACTTTTAATAGTGTTTATGTCGCTTTGCCATTTAGAGGTGAATCAAACAGTATGACAAAAACTAAAAACAGCCACGTACTAAACTGTTAAATTGGTTGTAATTAAAGGAATAGGTCCATAGGCCTAAACATTGTTCGAGCGTTCACATTACATCTTCACTGAAGAGAACTATGTCATCAGCATATTCTAAGTCAACCAGTGAATCTCCTGGTAGAAGGTCCACTCCTGAAAATTTAGACCAATATAAAGTTAACTCTAAAAGCATGTTTACGAAAAAGCTAAACAGTAATGGAGAGAGTGGACAGCCCTGACGGACATCATTTGAAGTGAAGAATTCCGATGACAGTTCGCCATGAGCTCTCACTTGACCTTTAGTGTTCGAGTAGAAAGCTTGTATAAGGTTGATGTACTTCGGCTCACCTTTTAATGATTGACAGTGTCCCACTAAGAAAAACCCTAAGAGTTTTCCTTGCGGTGTCTCCTTCGTCCAGTAAGTCGCAAGCAAGTACACGCTCGCACTAGAGCATGATATGAATCTAAATATCTTCTTCAGAACGAGCGACTTTCCTCTATCGAAGCCCTTCATTGGTGGCTAATAGCGATGTGATCTAGTTGGGTTCAGCGTTGGGACGACTTTTGGGGTCGCCAGTTTCTCCTTATGCTTAAAGTTAGTGTTTGCTAGGAATAGGCGATTATCTGAGCAGCAGACGATCGCCATTATATGCTCTTTGAGCAGCGACGCCATAAGATCCACCCAGGTATCTTTCCTTGGCACTGAGTCTACCTACTTGAATACTAAAGTCATCAGCCATTATTACTATTTCAGAGTGCCTAACATTTTGTAGTAGGTCCGTAAGCTTTCTATAAATCTCATGTTTGATATCGTCTGGACGGCGGCATCGCTGCAGATGCTGGTTGTCCGAGGGAAACACCTTACTTCTGTCACACCCCTCTGCAGTCGTCAGTACGACTTCGCCCTCAGACCTTGAGTAGCTGCTTTTAGTCTTGTCGTTATTCGATCGATGTGCCTGGCATGGTAGAACCTTCAGTAACATATGTTTCAACCAATATAGCTCGTTTGGGTCATCAAGATGGGCAAGCCCGATCACCATGTCAAGGTAGCAACTGCGGTTGGAACATCAATAAAAGGAGAATAATTCATCCATTTTAAAGCTGTTTAGTGTTTTTTTATCACTGTATTATTATATTCACCTTCACTTTAGGCATACGTCGTGTGTCGTCTGAGATTTTACGCCGTCGTGCTTTACAGTATGCTCGTGAGGTCAAGTACAATCTTGTTCAACTTGATAATGTAAATGAGAAAATAAATACAATCAAAAACTACTCTTTAATTAAACCATTGGAAGAAATAAAAGTCTCAGTGGAACAATTAAAACGTCAATTACACGAAATTTCTATACATTTACAAGTTAATATTGATGGAATTGGACGAGTTGACGGTATGTTGGAATCACGAATAAAGTATCTGGATTATTTATCAACTGAACTCCAAAATGAATTATTCAAGTTACAAGTTAGTTATATGTTGTATAATCTTGTTAGTTTTATATCTCAAGGATTTTTATGACTGTGATAGTGGGCTGTTCAATGTATGGTGATTGTATTAAATCTATTGAAATGATGCTTATCTTTGATTTGTGCAACATGATCCGAACTAACGAGTAAACGAATAGCCTGTTCATAAGATAGTTGTTGATGGCAGTTATGCCTTGTGCTGTTGGAATTTGTGAATGCTTCGATTGCAGTGCAACTTTTCTGTAAATAAACATTCTTAGGTATTTGGTGAATATACGTGAGAATCGACAGCAGACTATGATTGACACGCAAAATCTTTTTGATTACAGTAAGCAAAGTTCATGTAATCTTTTTAACTTGTTAGGATTGCGTGAAATGTAAACCATAGAATAGGACACTCTTATCAGAGCTAAACAATGCAAGAGATTTAAAATCATAGGAGTTAGAAGCATCTGGTTCGTCAACAAAATTAGGAATAACAAACGGGAGCGCTTTGAAGGATGAAATTGCACAAGAGCTCCCGTTCGAATTTCTACTGAACTCATGAGTGTATGTTAACATGTTTTTTTGATGTAAGGTATGTTATCTGTATTCAATGCCTGTGTGGTGTAAGTCCTGTGGCTATTAAGAATGCTGAAAAGGCTGTTAGAAATCGAGAGCGATGGGAAGCAGCAGACCTTGACAATTTTATATTCGCGATTTTTGAGGATGGTGGTCTGTTTCTAGTAGTTGAAGTGACTGAGATCTTAGGTAGAATCTGGGTAATGGGCATAATCCCATCTAATTGGTTTCGATCACTGACTGCCTGAGTCGATAGGAGAGGACAAAAGGACGAGTTGGTGACTAATTATAGATCCAGATAAATTAGAAAAATTGTTGGCACAACAGCTGAAGTTGATGGAGATGCTTACTCAGACTCACACCTCTTCTCAAGTCTCATCTACACCGACGATTCCCCAGTCAGTCGATGGTATGACCAGTGGTATTTCAGAGTTTCTTTATGATCCTGACGCCAATATTACATTTGATACTTGGTTCAGGCGTTATGAAGATCTCTTCAAAGTTGATTTTGCTGACAGATGATTCCTGGAAGGTGCGTCTTCTCCTTCGAAAACTTGGTCCTTCAGAACTGGACAAGTATTGCAAGTATTGCATCATACCGCAGAACCCACGATACCGTTCATTCAATGCTACTGTTCAGTCTCTCAGCAAAATATTTTGTGATCAGCACTCTCTTCTCAATACTACTCACCGCTGCTTAAAACTGGTCGTGAATGAGTCGGACGACTTTTTGACCCATGTTGGCATTGTCAACCGTGAGTGCGAACGGTTCAAACTCAGATCCCTGAATGATAACCAATTCAAATCCCTTATATTCATATGCATTTTCATTTTCTCGGACTAATCAGTTATATTTAGTGTTTGTTCGTTCGATGCATGATGTTTTGTGGTGTAGGAGTAGGTTGGAAGAAAGCTAGGGGCGGCCAGAACGAAACATGGCACAAATCCATGAAGTCACTGACAAGTGGACTGAGTCATGTTTGTAGATGTAGGCCACCTGGTTGGTGTGCGTGAGACGAAAGTCACCAATGGTTAGAGACTTTGAACGACATGGCTCAAAATCGTTTGCAATGGCGCAAGTGCATCCATTCGTTGTGCCCTCTCAAATCCTAATCTTCTGGATTCGTCAGCAACCCTACCTTTGTCTTTCTAACCTTATCTCACTGAATTATACTTCTCGAATTATATCTTCGCTCCTTAATCTTCTTCATTACCATTACTACCTCTACTATCTGTATCACTATGGGATTTGATTTGACATTTGCGTCTCTGTGCTGATGTGGTATGGCAACATGAACTGATGTACTTACGTACGAAGTTCTGCGTTACAACTGACTGACTGACTGACTGACGATGCATGATGTTTGCGCTCCATTGAATTGTCTATTGCAGAAGAACAGCACTTGGAATTGGACTAAGGAGTATGACGCGGCTTTTGGTAAACTCAAGCAGAAAACTTGATAGGATGAAGACTGAAAACGATCCACAGCCTGATGCATACATGTAATGCATCAACACCAGTACAGACGAAAAGGAGATCCACGTACGAAGTAGGATGTCCTGTGTTTGCCGGTGTCTACAGAACAAACCACAATCCTTGGACAAAAGCGCGACTGGTCATACAATTTGGGCTAGTTGTGTACGAAGTAGAGGTAGGAGGCGATAAATGGTCACGCCATCGAAATCAGATACTCAAACGGCTAGCCCCAGATCGTCCATTCAGAGCAGAAAATCTTCCCTTTGACATCCTGCTAGATACCTTCATCCTACCAGCATCCGCACCAGGATAAGAAACTCAGCTGCTAGCTAATCTCTATTACCGAAGGTATCTTCTCAGACAGCGGCGAACAACAGTCAAGATACAGGTCGACCCTAGGAGCGCACGCTGTTAAAAAGAGCAGGAGTGTTGGGGTGTTCGATACCCTTAACTCGCTTGATAAATGTCTTTGTTTTGGATTTTATTTATGGGCTGATCCGTTGACCTTGACTGTGATTGATTGCTGTGTTATTTTAGCATGCTATTTTTGAGACTCTTCCAAGGACGTTACTTTGACGTATAAATAAACGCGATTCGTGTTCTTGATTCATTGTCCTTGTTGGGTGTTTGTAGAATACACTTTCTACGCTATATCTAGACTTGTTAGTTCCATTGGACCAACGGATCTGAGTAGCCTACCCGGACGCTGGTTCATTGTCTCGTTCTCGTTTATCGACTAAGGTGAATCAGTAATAGTTTCAAGCATACCTAGTGACGAGCATAACGCATACTTATATATGATTGATTGATACTTATATATGATATTGATCAATGAAGATTTATTCATATTTGATTTCGTTTATTTTGTAATTGTCTTATTTTGAATAGAATCCTCCAAATTGTAAAGAAGCAAAATATGTGGTTGCGTCGTTAGAAAGACCGTGTGCATTTGGTTGTAATGCACATCATTTGATGTATTGTTTCCAAATGGCGTATGCAACTGGACGTACATTACTCCTAGATCCTAAGGATGGGCAATCATACTCGCAATGGTGGATAAAAAATTTCCTACCATTATCTGAGAAATGCAATATAACTGACATTCAGTCAAGCATTCATTCTGGTTGTAAGCACATCATAAAAGAATATTCATCGTTTCACTGTAATCTTCTAGGTTTTCAATTACCTGACGAATAGTTCTGGCATGATGTGTGGTATCAGCACAAATGAGATTCTTCTGTTTAAGCAACTTATTGGTTTACTATTGACATTTTTCTTGTTACTTACTAAATTAAGCCTGCTACCTCTGATGGACTCTAGATGTCTGAGCAGAGACCTCCAAATTTCAGACGTTCCCATAGTATATTGCTGATCGTAGTGTCTGCTTCCGATTCTGAGTGCCATATATTCTTTGGTTGATCTCTAAGTAGGGTATCTACTGTGTCTCTCTTTCGGTTCAGAAGCACTGTTGTAAACTTCGCCTAGTACTGACAACATAGTGATCCCCCAGTAGTTTTGACCATCAGTAAGTTTTCCTGTGTAATCATAATGAAGTTTCCCTCTTTCCGGCTTTGTTGAACATGTTCTTCTCAGATCTTTCAGGAAGGGACATAAAACATCTTTTTAGTTAGCTCTAAATCTAGCTTTAATAAATTGATGTCGGTGATCGATTTCGTTATACTTAGTGTCTTCCAGAGAATCCTAAGCGACATTTTGTATTCATTTAATAGGGGTAGTTGCTACTATTTAGGACCAAATTTTGGGAAGTACATACAGCTATCAATATGTCATGCTCCTTTATTTCTGTCGGTCCATATCGTCTAATCATGTCTTCATACGCACGATTGTCTACCTCATCTTTGGTGTCTATGGAGGTCTCCTATTGAGATGTACACGTCATTTTGCAGGTGGATTTAAGCCGACCATAAAGTCGTTGTTTATTATCTGCGCTGCGACCATTGGTAGGTGAACTAGATGAGATTTGTTTTAATATTTTCATTCTTTGTTTTCAAGAATGCGTTGATGATCCTGACGGTAGGAGTATCTCATTCTAAGAACACTTTCAATGCGTCTTCCAAGCGTAACACTGTAATCGATCTTCTTAATGACGAGACGGAAACATCTCTCCTAAAGTTAGCCGTTCCTGTCCACATTATGTTTGTTGAACTTCACTAAGTTCAAGTACTGACAAGATGTATTTTCTCATTTATGCATTTATTTGAATGAACCTCTCGGTCTCTCATGTCGTTTGGACATTTTGTGTCTCCATGTTTATTGTTGATGTCGTCGCCAGAGAAACACTACTCGTGTCTTCCAATGTTTTATCTTTCACTATCCTTTTATATGAAGGCTGTTAAGCTTCCAAAGAAGAGTTTTATTGGTTTAGTTAATTTTGTCTGTTTTTTTCACAAGTTGGGGTTGCTTACCCTACATCCAACCATCCTTTACCTGAAATCAGGACTGTCAGCAGTCTTGAAAGAGCTGAAGAGTGAGCCGTCTTTCTCACAAATCGCAAATAAAATGCTTTTCGAAATGTTGATCAACTAAGGAACCAAATCATGTTTTTTCCTATTGATTATGAAAAGATCTTGCATCTGTACAGCAATACAAGATGGTGGCAATTCTTAGAGTAACTTGTCAAACATTCATTAGATCTAGTATTTTATTTCTTTTAAACGGATCCGTAAATTGAAATAGGTTGACTAATTACAATCGAGAAACTAGATATTACCCACTTTTATAGTATAAGAATTCACTATCTAGAAGACATCATTATGCATCATGATTTTTGTTGTTAGAGTGCTGCGTTAAATTCAAAGTGAGGCTCAACACTTTAGTAGCTCGCGATATAACTCCAGTTTGGTTGAATGGACAAGTGGGGGTATGTAGGTGTAGGATGTATGTGTATTGTTTGTTGATCTAGATACAAATGGTTATCAATTATTTGTCAAGATGAGTTATCTATTGTTGGTTAGATCAGCTGTATGTATGGCTTTTCAAAAATTCGAATGGATTGAGAGTGTTCACAGTAAATTGTCTAAACTTTTCTCAAATGTAGCTTTGGATAAAAAATCGTTTGATACTTATCAAGCAATTAGATGTCCGTACATCGCTTCAGTGAGTTCTTCATTCGATTGGATCCCTCCAGCTGTGCCTAGCCATTTGAGCAAAGTACTTTCACATTTACATGGTGCCCCATTTGTTTGGTTCATTGGTCAATTGGCTAAATTTTTAATGCGTCCTACATTTGATCTAAGTGAAGCATCTGAAATATTCACTGATCAAACTGAGAATCCGATTGTTGGTATTCATGTTCGACGTACGGATAAAGTGAGTTTTTATGTATTCTTATTGAATAGTTGTTCATACTGTTTTACTGAAAGTAATTTGATCAGGTTTGATTATTGACTGATTGGATATGTGAGTAAAATTACTTATATTATTGAATAAAACTTTAGTACAACTCACATCCATGTACAGATTCTTGTACGTATTTTAAAGATATTTGAATCATCATGAACAGCACTGATTATATCACAAAGATGAAATTAATCCTCAACGTCCGGCTGAGATAGAAAAGCGCAACAAGGATTGAAGTGATTTCACATAAGGCGAATCGAGAACATGTTTACTGAACTTGTAAAAAAGAAACTGATAACTAATGCTACTTACAATGATTTAAGACCTCATGACTCATGTCTACTTCATTTATATGGTCTAACGAAGGTTCACAAACACAGCGATCGCCTTAAACCTATCCTGTCAGTGATGGATTCGGCATATCACAAAGTCGAATAGTGGCTAGTGTATAAGTTAAAACCAGTCCATAAAAGATTAGCAGCATATACAATAAAAGATGCAGTTAAATGCATTGACAGACTAAATTGAATAAATGTTGATATGAGGTTCATAAAATCTTTCGACATAAAATCCTTGTTGACGAAAATGCCACTCCTTGAAACTGCTGATATTGTTTGTCCGAATTCCAATATCCATAAATACTCATGTTTTACATGATAAAATTTTGTTGAACGACTTTTTTCCACCAATTACGTCATTACGTTTTTATTCTGATTGTCTTTTAAATTAGCAATCATATTTCAACTAAATGAACTAAACTAAACTAAATAGAACTATTGTTCGCTCGCAGTTCAGCAGGTCCACGGAACTTGGGATCAAAGGGGAAATGGGAATTTACATCTTTTTAGATAGTGAATTTGACTGTTCGCTTGTATTCGAAGATATAATTAATTAGTTGGGTGTGGACAGTAGAAAATCGTCGATAAACATAACGATTCCGAATACTATTACTTCTTATGAATGATTGGAAGTCAACTTAGTGTTATTTTATTCAGACGACATTGTGTCTGTGCCGATTAATAGGGCATATATAATCAAAGGATTATCAAATCAATGATTCAGATCTTCCAAATGAGCGACGGTAGGGACGGTGGTGACGTTTTATCGGTATAACGCTCTTAAGGTTTCCATGTAACCGAGTAGAAGTCTTGATTGGATTTGATGGAGTAGATGCTCACTGAACTATCGGAACACGTCTAGCGGAAAGGAAACACCCTTTTAGTTTGGTGATTGTGGAATTCATCTGTTAAAAAAAACTGACTAAATTGAGTAGTGGCCTCATTCTTCAAACCATTTGAACTCTGACCTGAGAGTTAGAAGGTCTTCATTTAAAAGAGTCATAACGCATAGTGATGAAAACTGAGTTTCTTCGGAAACCACGAGGTGTTTGCTTTTGAAAAGAGTACCAGAGAATTAAATTAACCATGTAAAGGCTCTCTACTTGATCTTAATCGGCCTAATCATTGATCAGTATCTACCATAACTCATGAATGGGATATTTTGTTTGAATTCTTTCATAATTTATGTGAATGTGAATAAGTTAATAAGACTTTTATGAACTATTTCGCTTTATTCTCTTACCTTTTTACGTGTTCAGATAAATACTGAAGCAAGTTTTCATAGTTTAGAAGAATACATCACTGAAGTTGAAAATTATTTCCAATTCATAGATGCCAAACGTCAAATGATGTCTAGAACTGAAGTAAGTGTTGGAGCATTGCCTGTCGCGTGTACATTGACTTTGTTCAGTTGTAACTAGATCACACAATCAATGACTTCATATTGTCTACTTTTTATTGATATGGAAACATATCTCATGAGGTTGCCCAAGTAGTAGGTTAGATCTATGATTCATTGGTATGGAATGTTCCTCTTGAGTTAGGTAATCATTCAATCAACCAGTCATCTTATTGAATCGAAACATCGCAACCATGTTGTTCAACTCATAAACTAATTGTGATTATTGAAATTGAAGTTTATAACATACTTGTTTTTTTATCTGTTAATCTTTACACAAACATTATGTTCAACTTCAATATGGTTCTCTATATTCCTGCGTACGAAAAAACACTCAATCCATTTAGCTTGTTTGTTATGGTTGAGAACTTGTGTTTCTGAGATTTTTAAGGAATGGAGCTAATACTCAAATAAACTTTTTTAAAAGGGCCGTGCGTTGTCCCGTGGGCTCTGCGGTCACGCTCCCAAGTCTCTAAGGACGACTTTAATCTACCTTGTCAGTTCCTCAAGAAACACCCTTCCACGGTGTGGGCAGCCGGGAATTTATAACCGCTTTCATATCCGTAACAGCACACGAGAGCAAATCGGTCATAATCAAATCCTTCCTACTCACCCTAATATCTCTATTATCTCCACGACTAACTACTCACATTCCTTTATCTCACTGCGCAGCTAATGGAAACGATGCGAGTTCCCGAAACGTTATTCCTGGTCTCCTGAAACCTCTTTTTAAATTACATATTGGAGCATTTGATGTACGAACATTGTGTCAAATAGGGCAACAAGCTTCTAGAAAAAACAGTTAGGCGACCACGTAAGTGATTCCCTTCCGGAGGCAGCTTGGAATGATATCCAAAAGGCTGTGGAAACAGCAGTGATATCTGATAGTAAGGTAAACCATAAGGCTAGGGTGGATTTCAGTAGCATCCACCGAACTGATGGATGCTCGAAAACTCATCCCACCTGACTCTGAACATGATAAAGAGCGAAGTCAGCTAAGGCGCAAGCTGATAAAAAGTCTATGTAATGACCGCGAACAGTGGTGGGTGTCGAAAGCAAAAGCGATGGAAAAGGCAGCGGCGATAGGCATTACTAGACAACTTTTCCGCCTTATCAAAGAAAACGGAATTAGGAACCCGAATGTGAGTGAGACTATCTCAGAAAAAAGGGGTGTTGTGCAGCAGGTCCTGACATGCCTCCGCCTGAGATGTTTAAGGATGGTGGTTCAGTTTTAACAGTTAGACTGACCGAGATCTAAGGTAGGATCTGGAAACTAGACGTAATCTCATCGGACTGGTCTCAGTCGCTAAGTGTCCCAATTTACACGAAAGGGCAACTGTCCCCTTATGACAGTCACAGGGAAATAAGTATAACTAATATAGTTTCTGAATTGTTAGCCTCGATAATGCTCAGATGCCTAACTAGAGCTCGTGAAGAGCAGACTAGAGAAAACCAGTCTGGTTTCATACATGGACGTGGCTGCATAGACCACATCTTCACACTAAGAGGTCCTGGAACACAGATACACATTTGAACGTCCAACAATAGTTGTGTTCCTGAACCTAAAAGCGGAATTCGACTCTGTGGATCGTGATGTTCTGTGGCAGTGTCTGTCATTGAAAGGTGTACCAAAGAAGTACATTAACCTTATACAAGCGCTCTACTCGAACACTACAGGTCGAGTGAGAGCTTATGGCGAACTGTCATCGGAATTCTTTTCTTCAAGTGTTGTCCATCAGGGATGTCCACTCTCCCCGTTCTCGTTTAACTTTGTCGTAGACTTGCTCTTAGAGTTAACATTATCATCATCTGAATTTTCAGGAGTGGACCTTTTACCAGGAGAAATGCTTGCTGACTTAAAGCATGCTGATGACATTATTCTATTTGGTGAAGACGCTGACAAAATTCAGAGTCTTGTGACCACACTAAGCAACAATGCGAGCATGTTCGGGATGCGGTTTTCCCCTCGAAATGCAAAATGTTGCTTCAAGACTAGGTTGCGTTGGCACTTACACTAGTGATTGGGGATGTACCAGAGAAGTGCATTAACCTTATACAAGCTCTCTGGTCGAACACTACTGGTCGATATAGAGCTTATGGCGAACTGACATCAGAACTGATTTCTTCATGTGATGTTCGTCTGGGCTATTAACAGTTTCATTCATGTTTGACGTCAGATAAAACATTCATTATCTGAATTTCGGGAATTGTAGTTTTGTTATATGATTCGTTTTTTGTCCTAGCATTTGCCGATAAAATAGTTTCAATTGCTGAAGACACTGACAAAATGTAGAGTATCCTCCACACCTGAGGCCACGATGCAAACGTATTCAGGATACGATTCTCTCCCTCGAAATGAAAAATGTTGCTTCAACATTGGCTTGTGTTTGCACTTGAACTGGTGAGTGAAGAAGTTGAACCTGTTGACCGCTTCACTTATCTCAGGAGTCTCATCAGTGCTGATGGCCGTGTGTGTGAAGAAATCTCAGCAGCTGCCTAGACGAGCTATGTTTTGTGGTGTGGGCGTAGGGTGAAGTAAGCTAGGAGCGGCGAGACTGAAACGTGGCATAAATCCATGACGTCACCGACAAGTGGACTGAGTCATGTTGGTAAATGTCACCAACGAAATTGGCGTTAACGAGACGATAGTAACGGATGGTTAGATATCCTGAATGACATGACTTATAACCGTTTGCATCCACTCTATGTTCCCTCAAATTATAATCATATCTATACTTGCTCACCTTTAAGTTTATTTCACTGAATTATACTTGTTGTATAACATCTCTAAACCGTAGTCTTCCCGATTACTGCTCATTTATCTAAAGCCTCTACTACTATGAGATTTGAATTGACAATAACATCTCTGTGCTTATGTGGTATGGCAACTTGATCTGATGTACGTACGTACGAAGTTCTACGTTGTAACTGACTGAATGATGTACGTGCGTACGAAATTCTACGTTGTAGCTGTTAGCTTTTTATTTTTAATAAAGAATATTTCGTTTATGCAATCATGATACGAAATCTATAGCACCAATTTTCTTGTTTAGGAATGGAGAAGCGACATCAGATCACCGTTTCATCATAATGTACAACGTCAATTGAAACCAGTAAAACGACGTGTGTATTTAGCTACTGATGAACCTAGTTTATTTGATGAAGCCAGATTGAAGTATCCTAATTATACATTTTATGGTGATCGTAGACGTGCTGATTCAGCTTCTGTCTTCAAGAGACACGATGATGATTCTATTATGGGCATAGTCACTGACATATTATTGCTATCAAAAACCAATTTTCTTGTTTGTACTTTTTCTTCTCAGGTAGGTTGAAGTTTATGTTTTGTTGTTTCACAATAATGATGATTATACTAACTAGTTAGTTATCCCTTATTGTGAGTGAAATTTTCTTGGAGTTGGAAAAATTATTGTTTGTTACAACCTACAAAATATTGTGCATCGATTTAGTCTGAGCAATATTCGCGATCACCTGTTAATTTGTGACACTGAACTGATTATTTATAGTTGGTCTGTAAGTTCTTTTCACAAATGTCATGATATTTTCCATAGAAGTATGCGGACCAACCAATAGCCGTTTTGTGTGAGAATTCTGACAACGAAACACTCGAGATAAGTTCCAAGCCTGTTCACTTTGTGTGAAATTGCCATTTAAAATTTTCTTCTAATCATCAATCTGCCTATATTATCATCAGTTGTTTTTGTGATTATAACCTCACATTATTCAGTGATATTATTAAATTGTTTTGAAGCTTGCTTTATTTTATTCTCCTCTATTCTACCTTGTGACAGGTTTGTCGATTAGCTTACGAATTGATGCAATCTAATCATTTAGAATTCGGTGATGCAAGTCAACAATTTCGTTCATTAGATGATGTATATTATTATGGTGGACAACAGGCTTCACCGTATGAGGTAGTAATATCAAATAATGAAACTGGTTTTTCTCCTGGTGATTTAGTTCACTTTCATGGTAATCATTGGGATGGTTATGCAAAAGTTGAAAAATTGGATACCAGTCACAGTGTAATTGCGCCAGCATTTAAATTTACTCCAAGGGTACTAAGTGCTCCTATGATCGGTGTACATACAAATCGATCAGCAAATATTATTGATAATAATAAATAATTGTGTTCTTCAACGTAAGAAAAATTGGAACCTTCACTGTTTCTCTCCTCTTCTCTGTACTATTGACATACTTCATCATAGTTTTATGTTTGGAACACATCGAACCCTCATGTTTTTAATGATAACGTAGTTCTCAGTGAAAATTATTTGTTGCTTACAAATGAAATTGAGGCCTACCTATAATATGTGCCAATAATTGTGTTCAGCGTTTGCTTTGTATGATTTTACTATGGTCCAATGTTTCTACAAAATCATGTGATATATTTACTCTTTTCATAATTTTACGGTTGATCTCAGTTTGTCTGATTTATTTTGCTTATAAAACAAAATAAGACCGTATATTTCATGTGTTATAGTTTTTATAAGTTCGCACATACTACTTACCGGTTTTTTAAACAAAACTTGTCTACACGTGTTTTTTTATTGTTACGATTAATCTTGTCTTTTTGCCTTATTGTTCTTATTTTTATCAATAGATTGATAACGTCTTATTTGTCTGTTTGTGGTTTTATATTTTGTCACTACTTACTCTTTGGTTGATGAATTTTTTGTACAGAATCAATTTTCGCTAGAAAAACTGACAAATATACGATAAATGTGTCTGATGTTTGTTTTACAGATTAGGATTATGATGATTCGAATGTAACCATCTGTCAGTATGACATGAACTGAAACGATGTTGAGTGTGTTCGCTCTTGAAAGTAGCACAGATCGTTCAGTGCAATAAAGTATATTTTAATTCGAACGCTTTGATCGCATGATGCATTGTGATTCGTCTCTAACAGGCAATAGGCTTTTCACGATCGACTCGATGGAAATAAAACTACCATAGAGAACAAAGAGGTCGAAGAACAGGAAGGCAATGACTAACATGTCAGGAAGTTCTGGGCCATTAGAAGTACTTCCCCGAAAAGTGAATCTCTATTGGTTCTCCTTAAGAAATTGAAAAAAAGGAGGAAAAAGAGGGCAGCACGCAACCTTGGCGCGATCTGAATACACTTAAGCAAGTGAAGAGTAGTATCATAGACGATAAACGTAAGTATGTGGAGGATGTAGCAGACGGCGGAAAGGCTGCAGGAAAAGGAAACTTGAGATGACAGTAAGATTCAACGAGGATGCTGTTTGGAAACTATAGTGATCCCAAAGTAAAATTGTGGTGTGTGCTACTTATACGAACGATATAAGTAGTATAAGAATGGACGTGAAATAAGAAGTCTCACGGTCAGAAGAGGAAAACGGAAAGCAAATAGAGCAAAAACAAGAAATAAATAGAGCATCGACAGGAAGGAAGCATCAGCAGGAATGGAAGAAGGCTGGAGCGTTGGAAGTCTGGACTCAAAGATGGTGTGCAAATAGAGTGTTCAATGTGGTGTTTTCTTTTTTAATTGACTAAGAGTGTAAATTTGCCAAATACAATCTATCGAGCCTGCTTCAGTCTTCTCAAAATGAGCAATTTTTTCCACGAAAACATAAATGTATCTAAAATTTGGACCGTTTCCAAGTGGTGGTCTAACGTCCCCAACTCTCCCCCCCCTTTTTATTAGCATACGTTCCTGGGATCGACTTGCATGTTGACTTTTCGCCTCTTTCGGAACTGATATTTTCTGGAATGTAGATCAGCTTGTTGATGATTAGCACGAACCAACTTGGTGATATGTTGATCCATTAGCGGCCATTATGCGTTATTTCTGGCTATGGATTTCATTCCTTTAACACAGATGGCAATGGTGGAACTGTTTCAGCGATTCTTAGCGAAGGCATTCCGGCATTAATGATTCGTGACGAAGCATTTGCCTGACCTGATTGTTATGTTTGTCGGTATTGGATTTCGAAATCACATCTCAAAAGTACCTGGGTCCATCCATGAAGACAATTTGCAGAATGAAAAAGAGTTTGCAAAACTCCACGTCACTCTTTAGTCCAGTTATAAGTGCTGTTCTTTTCTGCTGGAGTTAGTGTACGGGATGCTTGCATAACGGCTTTTTCTGACGCATCTGGAAACTGAAGTGAAGTAACAGCACCTAGTCCATATGCTGCTTCTACGATGATTGGCGTGGATGGATCGTAGTGCGTTAATAACCTTTCCGAGTTGATTATGGACTTCAGTTTACCAAAAGCCGTGTCATACTCCTTAGTCCAATTCCAAGTGCTGTTCTTCTGCAATAGACAATTCAATGGAGCGCAAACATCATGCATCGTCAGTCAGTCAGTCAGTCAGTTGTAACGCAGAACTTCGTACGTAAGTACATCAGTTCATGTTGCCATACCACATCAGCACAGAGACGCAAATGTCAAATCAAATCCCATAGTGATACAGATAGTAGAGGTAGTAATGGTAATGAAGAAGATTAAGGAGCGAAGATATAATTCGAGAAGTATAATTCAGTGAGATAAGGTTAGAAAGACAAAGGTAGGGTTGCTGACGAATCCAGAAGATTAGGATTTGAGAGGGCACAACGAATGGATGCACTTGCGCCATTGCAAACGATTTTGAGCCATGTCGTTTAAAGTCTCTAACCATTGGTGACTTTCGTCTCACGCACCCCAACCAGATGGCCTACATCTACCAACATGACTCAGTCCACTTGTCAGTGACTTGATGGATTTGTGCCATGTTTGGGTTTGGCCGCCTCTAGCTTTCTTCCAACCTACTCCTACACCACAAAACATCATGCATCGAACGAACAAACACTAAATATAACTGATTAGTCCGAGAAAATATCGTAATTACAAGTCATTAGTGGGAGTGGGCATCAGTTTGACAACTCTGATGTTTCCACGATCTGGTCTGCGACCGTCGGCATCAAAAATGAATCCCAAATATTTTAGAGACCTACATAAAATCTGGCATTTCTCTGGGCGTAACCGGGAACTGTAGTCACTGATGCGTTGTAGTAAGAATGATCAGCGTTCCCGTAGCTGTTCTAATGTCTTCGCAACGATTAAGATATCATCGAGATCAGCTGAACCCCTTGAGATATCAGATAGGATAGTATCAATTAGTTGCTGGAAGATAGATGGGGTAGTCTTAACTCCAAAACGCAGACGGTTGTACTGGAAGAAACCGCGATGAGTATTGATATTGAGAAGATTACTTGATGCTTCATCTACTCCCGCTTGCAAATAAGCATCAACTAGATTGAGCTTTGTGAAAAACGTTCCCCTATTCAGCATAGTGAACAGATCTGCGGAAATCGGTAGAGGATGATGATGCTGTTGCAGAGCTGCATTGAGACCTGTAGAAAAGTCAGCGCATATAAGTATTGTGCCGTTGGCCTTCTTGATAGCAACCATAGGTGCCGCACAATGAGTGTAAGAAATGGGAGCAATAACTCCTTATTGATGAAGGCGATTCAATTCTTCATCTACTGTTCTTACTAATGTTGCATAAGGCACGGGTCTCTTTGGACGGAAAACAGATTTAGCCACAAGTTTCAACCGAAGTGTTGCTTTCATGACACTGCACCGACTTAATCCAGGCTGAAAGATGGTTGAAAACTGCGTCATCAGATTTCTCGTATATGCTTCGGGGTCATGTGATCGTGATACCAGGTGGCATATGGTATTTAACGGGACATCAGCCAATTTTCTCTGGTCGAACCAATCTAAACCAAGTAAATTTAGATCAGCTGGCGTTATATAACACACCCCAGTAAATGACAAGTCTCGGAAGGTAACTTTACATTCCAATTTTCATAGCAGACGAAGGTAATTACCACATGCTGTACGAGGATTCTGAGTTGTGTGTTGCAGGCTTGGGCTACCCAATTTGGTTCGATTCTTGCGTAAGAGGATGGTGACATCAGATGCGGTATCTGTTTGCAATCTAAACGGATGCTCGTTAATATTAAGAGTAATGAATTTCCTGTCACCTGGTGATGGGTTTTGACAGGAAGATATTAGGCTCAATGAATCGGTACCTGATCCAGGAACAGACTTCTTGGTACTCCTGGATCGGTTTGGTTTTCTCTTTAGGCAAAAACCATCTTTATGACCGATAACCTTAGACTTCTTGCATCGATATTGCCTAAATGGGCAGTTTCGTACATAGTGCCATGAGCTGTAATGTCGACAAGGAGCACGGAGATTCGTTTTCGTCTTTCGAACTGAGTTGGAGTGGAAAGGAGAGTGTAGCAGTGGCACATTCACTGCGGTCAGATAGCCATTTTCTCATGTCACTGATCTTTTGGGACTGGAGGCTGCAATTTTGGATCGGTGCGTTAAAATGTTCTTTAGTCAAAGACTTGTGGTGATTCCACGAGTGCTTTAATAGAAACATATATTACTATGACCAGTTGTACCATTGATTGTTTTACTGAACCACTTCTGTATTCACAAACGTTCTGTTTGAGTTGCTGAGATTATGGCTCCACTATGTCTGTATATTTGCTGCTCATTGCTGTCACGATTTTGGAAATCTTTCGGTATCACGAAATCGCCCGCAAATATATTCTTCAGTATGGAATAACCCGTTTTCTCTGTGAAGGGCTCGTAATTTATCTGTAGTGGTGATGATTGCCAACTGCGACTCAGTCGCAATACACACTTCAACCGGAAGCTTTTGCATTCATTGTTGACGATGACCACACGCGTGCGGAAATCTTCGTGTTCGTTCATAATTAGCGTCAAATATCGATAACGAGTTGTCGCCGAAATGTTTATCTAATGTCTGGACTGTGTCTGTGAATAAGCGATCACGTTGGTTCAAAGGCAGGATCAAATTAGAATACCAGTCTAGCTCACTTGCACCCAACTTACGAAGTAGAAGCCGAACCTTCAAAGCATCATCTTGATTCGGGACCCACAAAAATAGCTTATAAAATTGTTCAGTCAACTAATTACATTCGGCGATTCTCCAAAAGGGAAATGTCATCTAAATGTCAATTGCCCAACTACTGTGTTAAAACATGAATATATCTAAAATAATAACTGTTCTGAAGAGAGTCCTAGGGATCCAACCTGTTCATCATTCACCCTGCCTGGCAGAGGTTATCGAGTTT